GGAAGGTATCAAATCTCTCTAAACGTAGTGTCCAGGGACGTTACTCTGTACCTTCATCCTGATGATAATAACCCATATTCACCATAGAAAGAATGTGTAATATCACTATTCCTCACCACTTTGGACGGTACAGACATTCATTGTCCCCAAAGGATGAAGACTAATACCTTTGGTGATCCCTTGACTTTGAAATGTCTGAACAACTATTGAATGGATTTTCACAAAATTTTGGTGCACACATTCATGTCTCACTCAGGAAAAATTGTCACTTTGGTGCTCCCTTAACTTTTCAACTAGCATCATCATCGGGTCAAAACTTTTGTTCTGTTTGGTTTATGACTAAAATACCTGTAGAACTGATGACATTCCCATCAGACTTATCAGGCTATAATTAATGTCTTCTAAATAGCAAGTGTTAGCATGCTAACATGCTAAACTAAGATGATGAAACATTTAAACATTATCTGCTAAATATCAGCATGCTAGCACTGTCATTGCACGTTAGCATGTTGATGTTAGCATTTACCTCAAAGCACCTAATTAAAGCCTCACAGAGCTGCTAGCATGACTATGTAGATTCTTAGTTTTTTTATTGTGTAATTGTTTACTGTATTGTCCTAATAGGGACAGGTGCTGTAAACAACCTTAGGCTTTATATGCCGTAGTATGTGACATTAGTCCATGATATGTGTTTTTTCCTGTAGAAACATTAATATAAATGTTTTTATGGTGTTCTTATTGTACTGTACTGGTCACATTTTGAATTTTTTGATTGTTTTTTGTACTTGTGTTGTTTATCTGATTCTTGTTTTATCGTGTGCCCTGATTGCAAGTCAAGTTTCCCACTTGGGATAATAACAAATGAACTAAACCGAACTGAACTGAAATGAATCAAACCCAATGAAATAATAGGGGGGAAAAACATTATTACTGTCAACTGTCAAAGAGTAAACTCGTTTTAGTCTGTTGATTGCCATGTTGCTTGTTTTGTTTCTCTGTTTAGTTCTCTGTTACCTGACTTCCAGACATAATCACCTGTTTTTTCACTCAGCCTGTCAGCTCATTCCATTAGCATTATGAAGACATGGGCTCACCGTGCGGCGCTCATTTAATTTCCCCTTTCATCAGCGACCTGGCAAGGCTTGAGTTCCCCAGTGCACTCTTAAATAATGGGTCTTTTGAAGATTAATAGTGTCCTGTGTTGTGTTACAGATCTCTATCAATGGTCCTGAGAGAGAGACAGACAGCGAGACAGAGAGATAGAGAGGAAGATCTTGATGTCTGAGGAAGGTCTTTGGATGTTAGAGGATGAGAGATGTTGCAAGTCTGGACAACTGTCTGCCTCACTTCTTCTGTGGCTGGATGAGCCAATTTCCTTCAACTCAGTCATCCTTCAAAAACGGCACAAAGGTCTTATCTTTAAGTAAAAGTAATATGAGGGCTGCCAGTGCCCTGGCAGCTACAAAGGCCTCTGGGCTCTGCAATAATACTAACATATAGCTACAGCACGACTTTAATATTTCACATCAAGGTGAATAATAGAAGGATAAACCTGGTTTTACAGAGTTGATGATTTACTTAAGCTACTATATGTTCATAAATAGAGTTGGCCTACATTATGGCCCCACTGCCAGTCAACTGTGCCATCACCATGGAGCTGTCACATCAATGAGGTCACGTCTCCTTTTTCTTCGACAGGAGACTGGTACAGTTTGAGGGAAAATACATGTTTACAGTCTACCCCACCTTTATTCTAATATCCATCTGTAGCCTACTGTGCATCCATCAATATATCCATTAACTTATCCATCAACTACTATTATCATACACCAATGAAACTACTCGGACTCACAAATTAATTGAATTCATTTCCTCAGACAGGCCAATACTGGTTGATCAACAGCTTCCAGTGGCTGCAACAATATGAGTCACATTCCTGAACAGCTTCAGCTGATTGATCTAATGATCATGTGGTCAAGGCATTGGGCTGGAGCAGCAAACACCAGTCCCAGAAAACACAGAGTGCCCTGGAGGCATGAAGCTAAGACTGAAGAGGAGGAGAGAGGGAGAGGATGGCTTGCTGGCTGGCAGGCTGCAGAAAGTGGGACAGAGGAGCAGTCAACAGGGAAGATCGAGGTTAATACAGCCGGGTATCAAGTCTTTCCTGATGTGCAAGTTCTGCCCAGCGTGTTTCTCCTCTGGCAGAGTGACCTCTGAGCAGCTACTCCCATCTCATGTTGTAGCATACATTCCTGAATCACAGCACAATGCCTGCAGCAGTGGCAGGGCAACCGCTACACACAAACACAACATTCAGAGCAAAACACTGAGCACCTACAGCTTTTTTTACATTCATTAGGTGTGTGCATATGTCTGTGTGTGTGTGTGTGTGTGTGTTCAGTGTGGACCACCAGCAGCAGCATATGACGCTGTTAAAAATACTCAGTGATGATTAACTTTAATGATGTATTTCTGCACAGTAAAGGCTGTGGCATTACACGTGTCTGAATGAAACCGCAATCATTGGTCATATTGGATCATGTCATGCATTAAAAGAAGGCTCGAGAACAGCAAAACGCATTGTTCCGGTCTAGTTGTGTTGCGCTTGTCATGCCTGGCACGGCACGGAAGAGCGCAGGGATGAAGAGGCTGCTGCTAGCCAAAGGATATATGAGCAAAGGGAAAAAAGCAGAGGCGAGAGTCCCAGGGTGGCTGCACATCGCCTACGCCCATTCATAATGTGCGTGTTTTACTACCCAGACTCCTGGCACCCCCCCCCCCCCCCCCCCATCCGTCAGGATTTAGTCAGTTCATTTCCAGTCAGTAGCCAGTGACGGTGATTTCGCTGCGCACACGGCAGCATGGACCTCCACTATCACTGACATGTGTTTGCGAATATGTCCGAATGCCATTCAGATGATGCTCGGGAAAAAAATGACCAGTTACAGACTGTAATTCTGTATAGCATGATGTGAGTTACCCAATAACCATTATTTAGGCTGTGACTGAAAATGAACGAAACACATATCGATCGTTTCTATCGCTCATAAATGCTTTATAAATGCCCACAAATTAATCAGTATTAATAATTGTACTGACCGGACACTAACTTTGATCGGTGGTCGCAGCCATGCCAGTCAAAGCAGGAGGCTTAACAAAGAAAAAAAGGTCAGTCTTTTGTTGCTTCCTTTACAATTGTAATCGGATTTTAATCTCTCCATCGCCTCCCTCAACTGGGGACACTGGCATAGCCCGCAGGCGTTGTGAGAACGACCATTGGTTAAATTATTCATTTCGATGTGATAATATCAGTCCAAATGGCAGGAATGGACGCAAGGTGCAGGCGCCTCCGTACACAGCTGGGCGCTCCTCCGTCAGACAATAAATAAATACCGAGAAAACTCACCTCGTGGTCTCAGGAGGAGACAGACGAACCGGGAGCCTGGGAGGGCTGTCCCCCAAAAAGATCAGTGATGCGGAGAATGTGAGAGGAAACGATGTTTGTTTCTCAAAAAATATCCGCCGCGTCCTCCCGGCCGGATGATGATGATGTGGTGTGTGTAGGGGGGGGTTGGCTATATGCTGGATGCTGTCATCGTACTGGGATTGCTCTCTGCTCTAATCCTCGGCCCTGAGCTCAGAACCCACCCCCTCCCTCAGTTCGTCTCTCTCTCCTCCCTGCCTCCTCCGCCGTCTGCCTGGAGGACCCCCACCCCTCCTCCGCAAGATCAGTTAGTCCTACATTCAATAATAATAATAACAATAATTGTTATTATTATTAATTTAGCAAAATAATAACAATCATCATCATCTTTCATTATGCACGTTTTGTTGAAAAGATATAGCCTAGGCTATTGATTGTTTGCGTTTATGATCCAGATTTCAAATTTTTGTTAGCCTACTAATTTCTAATATTTTGTAAATTATATTCTGAGTGTCCGTATCTGTAGGATATCCAGCTTGATAAAAGTTAATTTAATTGTAAATTTAAATAACTCTACTTGTTATATTAATGTAGGCTAAATTAAGTAGCTACTTTGTCATTTTATTTCTGGTGAGTGAAATATATACAGCTTCGAGTGATTTACTCTCGCAGCTCACGCCTTGATTCAGTGGCACCCTAATTCCAAAAACAAATAGCCCACAGTCAGGGCTGGATCACCCACACGACAAAGTGGGAAACTAACCCTGGGGCACCCATATTTGTCCGCTGGGATGTGGTAATTTAATTAATTGCTCATTTGTTGGAGAATCTACACCACATCACAATATCAGCTCAAATGATAAGGGCCTCAACACTGGTAGCATGTGAAAATTCCCATGCTGCATACTCCTAAATGGATATATTTTTACCAAATTGCCACAAAGGGGGTCAAAAATAGGATCCCAGGGTCCCCTTAGTGGGTTAACCTGGCCATAACCAAAATCCAAAACGTTTTATATTTTTGGTTGTTTATTTCATCAACAGTACATTATTTTAGCTTGCAGACAATTGTTAGCTCAAGACAGCCTGTAATGTTATATTAAAGTGGATTGGACTATTTTAAGTGTTTTACCCCACAACAGGACCTAGGCCTACACATCCATGACTTTATTATCAAAACAGCATGTAGGCCTAGTCTACAAACATCATGAAGAAAACTGATCATACAAGGGTACGCTACAACCAGATAATACAAAGTATAAGGTAGATTTATTTATCATTTTACAACACAGGGTGGTATAACGAGACGAAGTTGTAGTTCCCTTTATACTACTCGCAAAAACAAAAACAATTTATGGGTAATAATGAATACGTATTTAGCCTAAATATGTTAATATAGTAGTTCAAATAAACCAGTAAAACGTTTTCACGGGCTTACATAATTGTGACTGTGGTGCTTAGTCAATGATTTTCCGACTTTACGTTAGGGTGCCACAACTTTGCTTTCGCCTTCCGGCGTCTTCATGCGGTTTGTCCTTCCGTGCGCCCCGTCGTTCAGCGTAACTTCCGTTGTTACGTACTTCCGGTTTAGATACTTTCATCCATGCTCCCGAAACGGTGAATCTTCAACACGAAAGGCAGACTGAAGAACAAGACCCAGCGAAATCACCGCTATAATGTTCAAACTGGAAGGACTCGGGCCAAAAATGGACCCAGAGGAGATGAAGAAGAAAATGCGACAGGACGTCATCTCGTCTTTACGAAACTTTCTTATTTACGTCGCCCTTCTCAGAGCCAGTGAGTAACGTTAGCCTGCAGGCGGATGTCATTGACATTTAGCTAAATACCAATAAAACCGACGTGTTTGAGAGGGCGTCACACTTGTGTTTAGGACAGTGTTTGGTTACATCATGCATGTGATGATCAATACGAGCACTACCATTAAAAGAAACACGAGCATACCAACATGTATGTATGTTGTTGATTAGTGGCATAACGTTACAATATCTATTAGTGTTATACAAGCATCAAAATGACACTAAGTTAACTATCTTTAACTAATTCTTAAGAAGATAAAAACATCATGAAACTGACTACACCAACTCTGACTGCACACACACAAAGCCGCAATGGGATAACTGTAGTGAGCTGTGTACTCGTGGTCTTTTACAGGGACTAATCATCCGTGATTTCTGTGTTTACAGCTCCATATGTGTTAAAGAAGCTGGACAGCATATGAACGGAGCAGCTGGTGTCGTCTTCCGCCCTCCACTCGAGAGTTCACTGCATCAGTGACTGCATGGATCACCACCATCACCAGGCCGCTGTTGAAGACGACCAGTGTCTGTCCATCACTGCACCTGAGGAAACACCTTGTTCTCATTTTTTGTCTTGTTCCTTGTTCATTTTTAGTCTGCCTTTCTTGTACAGCATATTGTGATCATTGTTAAATGCGAAGTTTGATAGTGTGCCTGCAGTGTTCATAAAATAAATGGAGTGCTTGTTTTGGTTGGTTTGTGATTACATAGCAGATCTACTCAGTCCGGCACACATGGAACGTTCACTGCAAGGCAAACATTTTCATGAATGAGTATTAAATCTTAATGTTATAAACTCACCGAGAATAAAAAGTGAATAAGAAAGGAATGGAAAGTGTCTCACGGTCTCTGTTTAAACCTAACATCAGTGACAACTTCATGTATTTGTCTTAACATTGATATTACAGCTGTCTGTTTCAACTATAGGATTGGCCTTCAAGTGCATTTTTTTTCAGTGTCTTGATGCTTACCTATAGTGTGGGCCACAGTGCTCAGATATACAGTACGGTTTATTTTTGTCTATAATCAATATCAATTTCTCTGAGGAATAATAGTTTGTAGCTTTTCTCTGTCATTTACTTCAAATAAGGTGGTTTTGGGGTGTTCTAATTACAGAAATTTAGTATTTAAGGACCCAACAATTGGCAAGCTATCAGCTCAGAATGTGACTCTTAATTAGTATAAGCACCTTATTAGAGCGATAAAGCCCAAGACCACCGTCAATTAAAAATATCTCACAAACATCAAATATTTCACATAGATTTTTGTATCAAAATTCAAACTGGTTGCTATTTACCTGAAATTATCAAACACAGTCACAATTAATCTGACTTGCAGTGCTCAGTAACCATTCAAGGACGAAATTTTTCTGACGAGCAGTGTGACAGAAGGAGTAATTTCCTCAAAATCACCACCTGGAGGCAGTGTTGTTTATTGAGCGGGTTGATGAGACTACAACTGATTGAGGCGTCGACAGTGAGGGAGGCTAAACCGGGCTGGTTGTTGATGTGAGCGCTCTGAATCAGGAACATTAATAAAAACCCATGAGGGGGGAAAAAGAGATTATATTATGTTTGAGTTGCGGCAGTAGGAGAGGAACAGCTGTGCAGATATCGGGGGCTGTTCTCGGAGACAAAGCTTGAGCCCGCGCCGCATCCTTATTATTGGATTAGTCCCGCCCATACTCCAGAGTATCTCTAGGAAACCCGGCTACAACAGACAAGACAACACTCCTACACATCACGCTGGAGGTAGGCTTCTGTGAAATGTCAGAGTCCGGTCAGCCGGATGCCGTTTTCAGCACAAGAGATGCGGATAAGGAGAAGCTGTTCCTGAGCAGCTGGCCTGTTGTTTCACAATGACCTTCGTTGTGTTATTGTATTGCCAGCCGCGTCACAGATGCTAGGAAATAATCCCTGTAATATTAAATAACATCACCGCCTAATATGGACTTCCCAGGTCATTTCCAGCATATTTTCAAGCAGCTCAACCACCAGCGGCTCCACGCTCAGCTGTGTGATTGTGTGGTGTTGGTGGGAGGCCAGAGCTTCCAGGCTCACCGCTCCATCCTGGCGGCATGCAGCTCCCACTTCAGGGCTCTTCTGAGCTCTAGTGACAGCGGCGATGAGGTTGGAGGAGCAGTAGCTGACATAGGTGGAGGTGGAGGCCCCAGCGTGATGGAACTAGATCCAGAGGTGGTGACCCCAGAGGCCTTCTCCACCCTGCTGGACATGGTTTACACCTCCACCCTCTCTCTGGGGGCCTCCAATGTGATGGATGTGCTGCTGGCGGCGTCCCACCTGCACCTCAACCCTGTGGTCAAGGCCTGCAAGCTCCACCTGTCCAGGAAAAATTTCCCTGCATCGCCACCTAAAGGCTGGAGGTCAGTGCAGCAGCAGCAGCAGCAATGTCCATCTTCCCAGGCAGGGAATTCGGCCTTGCTTGAACAGGTCACATCGGTCATGGAGGAGGACAACGATGAGGAGGGAGTGGAGGTTAGTCAGTCTGGTGGGGTTGATGACCAGGACGTGAGTAGAAAAGTCAGTGGCGAGCGCAAGCACAAGAGAAAGTCACAGGAGGACGGGCTCGGGGGCAGAAAGAGGTCCTGCAGGCTGCCTGAAGGAAACTATAAGGAGCGTTCACCTACTGTAACCAGAAGCACTGTCAGTACGGAGGAGGGCGGAGAGGAGCTGCTGTCCCCGGACTGCCTGAAGACGACCAACGGACTCTGGGAGAGCCGAGGCGAGCAGGAGGAGGAGGTGGAGGAGAAATACGAAGCAACCAAGGGGGAGTCGGAGGAGATCCAGATGCCGAGCCAGTCGGACAGCAGCACAGGAGGTGTAGGTGTGTGGGACAAGGGCCGAGACACTGTGGTCAAAGTAAAGGTAGGAGATGAAGGGGAGGAAGAGGGAGAGGAGCCAAAGATGGCGATGATTGAGGTGAAAAAGGAAAATTGAGCTCCTACTCCCCAGATTTAGACACGGGACCAAACGATTCGCCTCCATCTCCGCTACAAGACTGCACAGGCAATTTAAATACACAACTAAATGACGAGAAAATGGCCACGGCCCGCCCTCCAGAGGGTGATGTCAGCTCTTTACACTCTCAGCTGTGCACAGATCTTCAAACCGATGCACAGAGAGACGCTGGAGATTTGGGTGAGGAGTCAGTAGATGGTGAAGGCCTAGAGAGCCTGTCAGAACTGGCCTTTTCCTGCTTCCTCAATCCCAGCAGTGAAAGTGTAATGGGAGCTCTGGAAGAAGAAGATAGCTTAGCTAGCCTCACTGCTGCGGCTACCGCTGCTGCTGCCGCTAGTGATGCTGGTGAGCCATGTCACAACTCAGAAGAAGCAAACACCTCCTCTGCTCAGTCCTCCGATTCCTCCTCCTCGCTTCTTTTTCCAGTGACGTCCGTCCCCTTGCAGCAGCTTCTACCCACTCAGGGCTCCGGTTTCAGCGACACACTCATCCTCCAACCCACCCAGAGCTCTTTTGCAGGGTTCCTGAGTGGCATCAGACCAGGCCTAAGCCTGGAAACCTCCCTCATCCAGCCCTCCAGGGCCGGGAAAAGCTCAGGGGCAACGGCCTTCCGTCGCATCGCACCCAAGGTGCCGCCCGGGTCAGATCGTTCCTCTTCCTCTGGATCAGCGGGGGATGCCGCTGATCGGCCGCCTCTAACCAGAGCTTCAGAGGATGTTCTGTCCAAGTGCAAGAAAGCAGCTGCCGAAGACCACGTGCTGCTGGTGGAAGGGGAGAAGAAATATGCCTGCCAAATCTGCTGTAAGACCTTCATGAACCTGACTGACTGTAAGAAGCACATTCGCGTCCACACAGGAGAGAAGCCCTATCCCTGTCCAAAGTGTGGCAAACGTTTCAGCCAGTCCTCCCATCTCTACAAACACTCGAAAAATACCTGCCTAAACTGGAAAGATGATCAGTCATTCCCAGACACCCTGCTCTGAGCTGCACTGAATGACATTTGTTCACTCATCGGTTCATCTGAAAAAAACTTGATTTATTGATATTTATAACCCCAAACAATTTTTGATTTTGTGTTACATGAAGTCAAAACAAATTAGCTCATGTAATTCTTTAGTGTTTTAATGATACTTTGTTCTCAACCATACGATATACTTTTATTATTCCATGAAATGAAACAGATCAAATGTGGCCAAACTGATGTGTATGGACTGAAATTGTTCTCAAAAAACAACTTTTTTCTTTTTTGGACTGCAGCTTTTAAGAGTGATGAGAATAAATGAGGGACCTAGTCCTTTTTATTCATCGTGAATCCATTTTAAGCACGAGGAATTTCTAAACATTTCATTCCAATTTTTTATTCTACAGAAAAATCCCATTTCACGCAAAACAGAAGTGTTGTACTGTCTTTCATTAGTTTTAATAAGGAGTGTTGATGGTATGTTCATCAGCATTTCCTCAAGAGCTGGAATACACATCTGAAATGTCAGAACCTTTTCAATGTGCATTTCCTTTCTCAAAAATGCACACTGTATATTATAAGTGCCATTAATTAGTAACTGCGACAGGATCAAATGAAACTATCAAGTAAACACTGACACAGTGTAAACACGTATCTGAGCAAGATCTACATTAGTATTCTTACTATTCTTTTCATTCCTTCTACACTTTGATCCCACATTGGAGACCATTTCACCCATGCAGACCCAGAGGAGGCGGTAGGCACAGCGGCTCAGTTTCAGGCACTAGAAGGTGAGTTCACTGGGCATGTCTGTGCCCCGTAAACCTCCCAGCAGGTTTTGAGCTGACAAAGCTGCCATGATGCCTCTTGTGGAGTAGGTGGCACTGCCGATGTGTGGCAACACCACTGCACAAGACAAGAGAGGACAGGAAATACCATTAAATAAAAAAGGCCAAAAAACAAATAAACAACCATGTCCACATTCTGTCTACTCACCACAGTTTTTAAGTGTAAGAAGGGGGTGATTTGTTGGGAGTGGCTCAGGTGTTGTAACGTCCAGTCCAGCTGCAGCTATCTGTCCACTGGACAAAGCCTCATACAGATCCTCCTGGTTCACCACAGCTCCCCTAAAACCAATAATACACCACATTTTCGTCTTTATGTATTTTAACAGCAAACATAGCTGGTGTTGGAAATGCTTTCCCCATAATGCATAGCTAGGTTTGCGCTGCTTTGAAAGCCTGACCTGCTCGAGTTGACGAAGACTGCAGTGTTTTTCATCTTTCTGAAGAAGGCCTTGTCACACAGCCCCTGGGTTTCAGGCGTCAGGGAGCAGGAGACAATTATGAAGTCGCTCTCAGACACCAGTGTGTCCAGGGGGACTGTTCAACAGAGAGGAGAGGAGGAGGAACAAAAGGGGGACAAGAGGAAAACAGATCATCAAATATGCAAACCTACAAACCAAAACCCCTTATTTGTATTAAATAGTTTTTTTTCTTAACATTATTAGATTTGCACTCCTTCTGTCTTTTACCTACCCATGGTTGTATAAACGAAGTGGACGTAGCCACAGTTCTGTTACCATGAGTGGGTGATACAGGAGTAGATTTTCACTCCTTGACAGAGTGACTTAAAAAATCATTTATTCATTTTAGAAATTTACAGTTATGTCTGAAAAATGATCTATGATTCTGTCCCAGTCCTGTGATGAATACTAAAATCCCATCTGACTCCCATCTTGCAGGAATCTGAGCCTCTAGTCACCCATTGGCTCGTGGATCATGGTTTTGAAGCCTTGAGATCCATCTTGGTTTTTTGAATTCAGAAAGGACCATATTTGGACGAGACGGTGAAGCTGGGGAGGGATACAATTGCTAGGCCTGACCAGGT